ACCACGGGGCAGAGTTCCCCACACAGGAGCTCAATTCTGGCTCTGCGTGCCGTTAGGAGAGAAGCTCAGCTGCTGAGAGGAGCTGACAGTCAGTGTCAACAAAAGAAAGAGCCCAGGAGTGAGCACAAACTGACAGAAAATGATGAAAAAATATCCGTGGTTGTCAACTGTGAGAAAATAGAGAGAAATACATGGTAGTGAGACATCCTGCAGAAAGTTCAGGGAAGCAGAACCAGCCTCCTTCAGCCTGGTAAACCACACGCTCCCTCCTGACGGGCCGCCTCTGTGGGTCCTTCCTCGGAGCCACTCCTCTCGCAGAGGGAAGGAGAAAGAAGAGTTTGGGTGAGAAGAGAGAAAAACGCTATTTAGAAGGATGTGGTGAGTAAAAGGCTTTGGCCTGAAAACATCATCTGAAGTGAGTATAAATAAGAAGAGATGAAAAAGGAAGTTAGCAGCAAAAGGGAGATATGGAGGATGTTATGATCCGGTCTGCAAATGCCTATGGTAGAGCTGAATAAAGGTGAAGGTACCACAAACAGAAGTACTTGAAGCTGAGCAGTACAGATAGGAAGTAATCCATCCGTCAGGACGATCAGAAAAATTTTGGCATTAATTTCATGCTACTACATGAAGCGGAATCCAAATATACAAGCAGTGCATGGAAAGAACTCAAAGCGGTGGTGAAGCCTTTTTAGGGATTTATGCACCTTCTTTTCATCCACGATAAATGGAACTTACCCCAGTGAAATTTACCCCCGCAACCAAGCAGTTAAGCTCTTGAAAGCTGCATCTGCAGACAGGGATAAATTTTTCCCTCTTAACTTTTCTTACTTTGAGGTGAAGGTAGGATTTGTTTGATCTGATTTGTTTAAAATAGTACCCAAAATGCCACAGCCGTAAAATGTCATGCAAAATGTGTGGAAAGTTTTAGCCATATGGTCAAAACCAAAAAGTAAACCAGAGTTCTTCACAAACTAGCGCTTATATGTGCATGTGTGCGGGCGTGTATGTTTAAGAAGCATATGAGTGCAGGCTCTCCTATCAGTGCTACTTTGCAAAAAGAAAAACTCATTTATTTGGTTGTATAGCTTTGCTGTGGGAAAAATAAATATTTCAAAACCAGATAGGTAGGTAGGTAGTTATACAAGTGCATATGTATTTTGCAAGAAAGAAACAAACACAAAAAATACCATTCTGGTCTGAGAGCTATTTAACTACCTAAGCGTAGGTCTCCCAGCGAAAATTCATTTAAATTGAAGCCACCTCAGTGCACTTTGATTTTTTCCAGAACACTTGACATGAAAAAACGTATTAGAAAGCCAGACCAGTAGGTGTTAATTTTGCACTTCTCAAACCAGAGACTGATGATTAGATATAGCTGGAGCCTTTATCTTGACAGTTAAACGCTGAATTCCCAGAAAAGTTGACATGTTAATACCTATACGCGAAAGGTCTCATTGCTCAAGGGTTCACTTGTTTCGCCAGTGATTTCCATTGCATATGCTCAGTCTCCTGTGAACCAAACCAGAATTGTCACCTGAAAACTTCACTCTGTGAAAAATGTGAGGTACTGACTGCTAGTGAACAAACCTTGTCTGCTTGTTTATAACGGGATAATCAGTGATGCCATTTCGGTACACTGTTCAAAAGAAGAACCCATCACATATAATTAAAAACACTTGCAACTGGCCCAATGTTGAGTTACCAAAAAAATATACGGAAATGGGAGAGGGCTTTTTACGGGAGCCTATAAGTACTGCTTCGAATTAAAAAGTATGTTAACTGATTTAATATTCTAATCCTAACTGAGGTTTTGTCTGGAAAAACTTTTAAATAGGCACAGTCGTATCTGATGAGAATTGAAGCTCTCCTCTGCAATATGTTTATTGGCTCTGAATGAAGCACAGCTGATGGTTTGGTCACAGAAACCTGCCAGAGGGCAGCTTGCTTTAAGAGAAAAGAAACAACTGGTGACTTTTCAAGGTACCAGCAAACCTGAGGGTGCAGTTACACTTCAGCTTAAGCTGATTTAGGTGATTAGTTTTTAGCCAGCAAACTGTCCTGAGCCTGCTCTCCGTAGGAGCACCCGGACACTGGCCTTGCTGCTGGGGCTGCACAGGGGACAGGGCTGGGGTGGGACTGCAGCAGCCCCAGTTTACACCAGTTTGAGAAGCCTTGAAGTCTCATTGTGACGAGAACAGTGCATATTTTGTGTAAATCTGTGAAATTCTTCTTCAGATTAGGAAATGCTCCAGGGTTTGTGTGTATGTTTGATTTGAATTGGTGAATTTCACCTTTTTTTCCCCTCCAGTTGCACTAGCATCAGCTTGCAGGCAGCAGCAGCTGGTTTTTGTGCTGCAGTCTCCAGATAGGTGCACACTAGCTTTAATATTTCACCTGGGATTAAACCATTAATACATCCTTGACCACGTTAAACCCAGGAAGGAGAAGCTTTAGCCGTACCTTCTGTGACCTTTTCAGAGCAGAGAGATAGGCAATGGTTCTGGTGTAGTAACCAGAATCATTTAGATATTTCCAGCTAAAACTTTATTTATTTTCACCATAATGCAGCTAGATTTACAGATGTGATCAGTCTGAAAGCAAATGTGCTGGCAGTTAACAGCTGTTGAGACTGAGCTTTAGGCATATTGCTGAAAGTGAAATGGACGGTTGCATAAAAGTTTATTCTATCTCAATAAACCAAGTCAGCCTCAAATCAACCAGTAAAAAAAAAAAAAAAAAAAAAGTTGTTTTGGCCCAACCCCATCCCCATTTACCTGCAAGACACCAAGAATACCTGCAGAGTGGGAGGAATTCAAATTATTCAGTGGGCAAAGGCAGCGTGGCTGGGCCACAAAGGAACACCAGCTATTAAGATGTGGCAGGTGCTACGCAGAGTCATTATGGCAAAAATAGTTTCAGCCTGAAGTTTTTATCACTGATGATCTCGTTGCGGTTAATCAAAGATTATTTTTACAGCAGAGTGATCTGTGAAGGAGGATGTTAAAGTTGAGGGTGTCTGTTTCCCATTAAAAATAATCTATTTACTTTGATAGAGCAATCAAATGTTCTGCATTAAAGCTACATTGCAAATATGGGTTTTTTCCAAATTTCCTGAAGAGAGCCTTGTAGAGATTTTAATATTAACTAAAGAGTTTTATTTGATGTCCCATTGAACTCTCTGTTGAAGCCTGAGCTACTAGCTCCATGTAAACCAGCCCTAGCGCAGTGGGTGGAATCTGGGCAGCCCCATGCATGCACAGAAATCAGCACCTTGATGGGAGGAATCTGTTTCCAAGTGTTTCACCACATTTATCATCATTTGGAAGGACTCTACCAGCTGGTTCAGAAGTGAACCCAACAGCATTAGTCTTAATGCCAGTTATTATGCTGTCTGGTAAAATGGACTGGGCACAAGGAGGGGTTCGATTACTCCGTGAGCCTTCGCAGTTGTGCCATGTAACCACGCGGGACAAGACACGGCAGCCACCGTGCCCTGCCTTTATTAGAACATCAGCGATCAACCCAGCAATGTACTTGTGGAAATGAGATTATTTAGGAAATACTGATGCTTGAGAAAGGGAGAGACTTGGCCTCCAGCCTGGTTCCTGAGCTGACCCCGAGCGAGCAGGTGGCTTGCGATGGCCACACGCTCCACCATATGGTATTCCGCAGCGCTGAGCATTGTATTAGCAGCTGCGGTCTCTACATTCATAGATCTTTTAATTAGCACAGTGGAAAAATGAGCAAAAACAGCAACAAAATCAGTAAATGTAATAATAGAAGCTTTTTGTGACATGTAAAGCATATCGAACCATTACATTTTAGCCTGGTATTTATTCTCTTCTGATGACTGAAATATTTAGTCCAGAAAAATTCCACTCAGATAAAAGCAGCCATCTCTTCACGAGGAATAACAAGCAAAGCATCCTGAGAGAGATAAAAATACGCTGTTTTGCAATCTCGGTGGCTGAGTTGTTCTCTGACCTTTCCGTAGACAAGCTGCACTCCAAATCCTCCACTGGCCGCTAGCTGCCAAGAGGGACCAGTCTGCTCCATTGTTGTTTCCCAGTTCAGCGATCCTGCGCTGGTTGTTGAACTTTCTCAACAGGAGAAATTTGAAGCTCTGGCCAGTACAATCAGCATCCTACATACTGGTTGGCTTTCAGGTTGATAGACTGCCCCACCTTTAATTGGGAGCGTGTTTAATTCTCCAGATCCTGATGCAACAGATATGTATCAGATACACAATTGGAAACTTTGCTTGGTTGGCACTCTCACCTTCATGGAAAAAGGCAAAAACCTAACATTCAATATGAAGAATTTACTTAATCTGTGACTGAAATCATAAGTAGTTACGGCTTGGCTATTGTATCATGTAAATTGTGATATGTTGGTGTATTATTATGTTACAAAGAATGAAGGAGGTTATATTTCTTATGGATTATAAGTCTTACTAACTTCTCTTGCTTAGTAAAGAAATGGTGGAAATGCATCGTACTCTTCTAGTATGTAATTTTCCTTTTGTCCTAACAGTCAATTAAAGTGTTAGGACATTGACAACCTCTAACTGTTTGCCACTCCAACAACCTTGAAACAATAACATTCAGACCTGGAAAAATTTCTGGCTGATGTTATGTGACATGAAGTGTGTGTTTTTATTTGCATGACTGCATAGGTATAATAAAGTTCCCACCTTAGTGACCTTGTGCAAGTACCTCTCAGAGGGTGCTAAATTACTTTTCAAACCGAGATTTGTTCCACACTGGAGCTGGACCTCAGAAAAGAGTATGTTTTTTGAAACTTCTTTTACCAAACACAATTAAAGGTACATACTGGAGAAGAAGTGCTGGGTGAATCCACCGAGTGCCTTGATGTTATGGTAGTGTGATGGGTTACAGGACAGGTAATCAGAGATGGCTGAATTAAACTGCCTTCCTGTATTAATCATTCTTTTTTTTCTTTCTTTTTCCCCACCTTCCCCCTAATTTTTTTTCCAGGTGCGGTTAGAATGGCCAACAGACCTCACGGTGAACCCTCTAGACAATTCACTGTACGTCCTGGACAACAACATCGTCCTGCAGATCTCTGAGAACAGGCGTGTGCGGATTATTGCAGGGCGCCCCATTCACTGCCAGGTGCCGGGCATCGACCACTTCATCGTCAGCAAGGTGGCCATCCACTCAACCCTGGAGTCAGCCAGAGCCATTGCCGTGTCTCACAGCGGCATACTCTACATTGCAGAGACAGATGAAAGAAAGATCAACCGTATCCAACAGGTCACAACCAACGGTGAGATCTCTGTAATCGCTGGAGCCCCATCAGACTGTGACTGCAAGATTGACCCGAATTGTGACTGTTTTTCAGGTAAGGAGATGTTAGTTATTTCCTGTCTCTTATCTGTTGAGATCCCCTGGCACAGATTAGCAAAGTGACAAGGGGAAGGAAAGACAAGCAATGATTCTGTTTCCTCAGAAAGCTGAAAAGCTTATCAGCAGCTCTTTGTGGATTTAATCCATTGGATTCAGAGATGTGAGTCTTCCAGTTGGCACTGAAGGAACCTCAGGATCATCTTAAATTTTCCTCTTTTAATAGAGAGGTTACACACCATTCAAAATTAGCTCCAAGTCTGCCTTTCAGAGGCAGCTGGGTTTGCCCATGGTGAAGCCGGTACCAGCCCCACTGCAGGTGCCACCCAAATACTAGTGGACCAGGCAGCCCCTCTCAACAAGAAGAGTACAAAGGTGTTCCACATCCAGTGGAAAACACTACCTTTTGTCTTCTTATCACTTGTGTCACGCTGCACAACCAGCAAAATGATGCAAACACATCATGTTCGGAATTTTTTGTTCTTTGTGTGTTTTAAGCTGGAACAGCCAGTGCCAGGCTTGCAACACAGCTCCTCTGCCCTGCATGCACCAAAACAAATTGTGGAGCTTTTTTTCACAAAAGCATATTTCATAATGAAACAAAAGGACAGCATTCCCATATACAGAGAGGGGCAGTATGTTGTCATCTTGCTGTCTCTAAGATCCACCGTGTTCAGCTCCATAATGTCATCATAATTCTTAAGCCTCCCATTTCATGTAAAAGGTTAATTACTGACAAGGAAACATTAAGTATGTCAAGAATGGAGAGAAAAAAATGTAAATGGTCTTCCAGAGAAAGTGGGTTGCTGACCCAGCATTGTAATGATAATCAAAGCTTCACATGCATTGCCAAGCGCTGCCAGCCTGTTGCTGGTGTGGCAGACCAGTGCTGAAAAGGATCCTGATCAGCATTCCTGTTGAGGAAAACTGCCCTCAGTGCTGAAAAATTGAAAACTGTGATGTATCTAATGATGCTGCTGGTTCTGGGTTGGTGAAAGGCAGGGCCAGAAGACCACCTAATTTGTCCATCTCCGGGGAAGCACAAGGTACACTCAAAATCATCACCAAATTTCATTTCTCACTCAGGGGAAGGGGAGCAATACAAATAGTAATGTGTTTTTCTCTAAGAATGAGGTTTAATGTGCTTTCTTGCTAGTTACAGAAAATCCTGCTCATGTAAAGTCATTTTGATATACAGCCTATGATAATGCAAATATCCTCCTCAAACCTTTAAAATACGCAAACCAAGTAAATTATCAAGTGATACTGGATGGGGTGGTTTCTCAAAGCCCTTTTTGACTGTTATTCTTGTTTTGTTTTCCTGTAGTGTTGAGTTTTTAATAAGTATAAACTAATCTTTGATTCGGTGTCATTTTAGCTGAATTACTGGGTTTCATTTTATGTTTGTTTTATTTATAACACAATTTTATTTATCTACATGACAACAGACAAATAATAGGGAATGAAACTTCAGGTGTCGTGGTTTTTTTTTTTCCCAATTTTGCCATTAATGCTTTCCTGAGCAGCAGGGTTTTGGCCTTAGCAAAAATGGTGTAAATTAGATAATTTATATTCTTGTTTGTCTTCACTGAGACTGATTTAGAATTGCACCGACCTTAGACAATATGGATTTAATTAGTTGGAAGAAGATACTCTTTCATTGAGCTGTAAACGGTACAGAGGAAAAGCAGCGTGTCAGGCTATGGGGGATCAGATTAAGTATGGACATCACAGATTACTAAAATTACCATTTCTCCTCCAGGTGATGGTGGATATGCCAAAGATGCAAAGCTGAAAGCACCTTCTTCTCTAGCCGTCTCTCCTGATGACACGCTGTACGTAGCAGACCTTGGCAACGTTCGCATCCGTGCAGTCAGCCGAAACAAGGCTCACCTCAGCGACACGAATATGTATGAGATCGCGTCGCCAGCCGACCAAGAACTGTATCAGTTCACCGTCAACGGCACCCACCTGCACACGCTGAACCTCATAACGAGGGACTACATTTACAATTTCACCTACAGCGGGGACGGGGACATTGGCACCATCACCAGCAGCAACGGGAATTCGGTTCACATCCGCAGGGACACGAGCGGGCTGCCCCTGTGGGTCGTGGTGCCGGGGGGCCAGGTGTACTGGCTGACAATAAGCAGCAATGGAGTTCTGAAAAGAGTTTATGCCCAAGGCTACAACCTGGCTCTGATGACATATCCTGGAAACACGGGGCTTTTAGCAACCAAAAGCGATGAAAATGGATGGACGACTGTGTATGAGTAAGTCCATGACATTAAATGCCTGATGCAAGGAGCCCTGGTTTAAATAAATATTCAAATTTTTTAATCAGTTCTAGTAATTTAAAAAGACAGTTGGCTACTAACGCTGCATGAGAAAGGACAAGTAGTGCTGTTGCATGAGCTTTTACAATGAAACACTACCATTTTTAAGTGCCAAAGCTTATCAGGTGTAAAAGCTCTGTACGTAGTGCCCATTAAGCGTAGCAGAAAGTGCCTGAAATTATACTTCATTTGCACTTATTATTGTGAATCTGTTTCTTTAAATGAAAATATAATTTTGGAATTTTTTGTAGCTAAAGGACTAAAGACAAGTTGTGATATGAATCAGGAATTTGCAGAATTCCTGAGGAAGGCAAAAAGGGGAAAATTAGTATATTCATTGGCGAAGGGTGTGTTGCAAAGGAAACTGAGAATCTCAGTGGAAGGAATATTCAAAGACAAGAGTAGACTTGTCTCTGTCAACAGCAGAAGAGGATACATAATAAGAAAAGGATATGTAATAGCAAAAAGCTGTATATAAGGGGACTAGGAATGGCCTTGTAAGCAAGATGGTGAGGAAGCCTTTGACAGGACTTCTAAAGAGCAAGACGAGACAGTTAAAGATGCAGTCAGAACATCCCAGTCTGGTCCCAGAGAGAGAACAACTCAAGAGAAATTTCATTTTTGACTTTAAAGAGGTGTGATGTATCAGGATTTCTTATTATTTATAATTAATTGTTATAATTCCTGTTTGAGGATGTGACAAGTGATGGATGGAAATCATATTAACATTGCAGGATTTGTTCAGAGTCCTCAAGGAAGGTAGTAATGCCTGCTTTCTGTGCAGCATGGGAGTTCATGGTCAAAAACTAAAATGAAAAGCCATCCAGGTGAGATATGAACAGAAAACACATTGAGGAGAATTAAGTTACTGCATAAATCACCTGGAGAGGTAGTTGAGTCACCATCGTTACAGGGTTTTAGAATTATATTTTCTTAAAATGGAAGTAGGATAAAAGCAGAGAAAACTGCTGCCTAGTGCGTGGGATCTTTTATTCAAGGGGATGTTTTTTTCCCTCTGCCAAAGACTGAATTGATAGGGTGGACACAAGTATAAACTATTAGAGAGGGCCATTTTTGACAATGTGTGGGAAAACAAAACTATACAGGGCCTTCCTCGTTCAGTTCTCATTATTAGGCATCTATTGATAAAAATTTAAGTTATCTTGCAACAAAACAAAGTTCACTGTTGTCGCAGTGCTGTTTAACTACCGATCTGAGTGTTACCTTTTATAAGCAGAACTCATTTAAAATATATGTTTCTTTGTAATAATTTCAGCTCTGAGAGTGATCCATTTAAATCCCTGCTCGAGGATCGCATCAATCCATGGTCATGGACCAATGACACACTCAAAAAGCTTTTACAGTGCCTCCAAGTCATGCCAATTACTTCTTAAAATGCTGAACACCATGCATTGTTGCAGGACCTTGAATGTTAGAGCAGATTATTTTCAGTCATGTGCTTCTCAGTCCTGGTATTCTTCCTCTGTCCCATTGACACTGTGTGACCCATTTCACACAATTATTGCTTGTTCCTGTTGTCTTCTGGCAAGTTGTTAAACTACGACTCAAGCACAGCAAGATCTCTTAAAGGATTTCACCTGCTTACAGGTGCCTTCCACTGTATGTAACATAGATTTCTTCACAAAGAAATACCTGTTTCACGGAAGGATTGGTATGATCTATATGATTAACGTAAAGAGATTTTGCTACAGTGAACAGTTTTTCGTACTTCACAGCTTTAACTGCAGGCTAGGTCATTCTGTCCTCACTGATGCTTCAAGTTGTTCAGGCTTTGCATGACCATGCACTTCTGCCAGTCTAGAGCAGTCAGTACAAATTAACAGAATTACAGTTGTTAGCATTACAAAAACAACAGCAGAATTAAATAGTGAATCTGCATCATTGATATCTATGTTCAGTCCAATATTTTAAATCATCTTGATAATGTTACAAGTTCCTGAACGGCTGATACACAGAACGTCACCCAGTCTGCTGCAGACAGAGGGGCGGTTGGCTCTAATCAGCGCGGTGCTGAGCAGATGGGCTTTCAGGAGGTGCTGCTCACCTTCTGCTATAAGGTTGTGGGGCCTGATGGTCCTTAGACATCCTTTAACCAGACATTGTTTTCCAGAGAGATCAGGTTCTGAACTGACACCTGATTACAGTTTGAAAATTAGATTTTTTTTGAAGGGGTTACTTGTATATGAATTGCTTCGGAGTCCTATATGAACACAGGATTGGAGCTAAGAGAATTATTACATGAGCAACTTTCAAATTGCTTGCAATCATCTTCTCTGTTTAAGCTAGATTTGCATTCACATCCGAAAGTTCAACCCATGGCACTGTCAAGCTGAAATAGGGATGAGTTTGTTTAACAACACGTATCACACATGCTTGGGAATATGAGCAAAGATAATGAACTGTTCAGAACATCTACCGATATGTCAGATTCACTCACAGAGGGAAATTATTAAGAGGTAGAAAACCACCTACAAAAGTACTTGTCATCCATCTACTCTAATCTGATGGAATGGAAGTACTGAAAGAGCTCTTGCATAAAAATTATAGGTAATGTACAATTTTCAGTCATCTAGATTTTTTTTAATATTGTATCATTAAAGCTGTAAAAGGGAGCACTGGGCCTCTATTAGATCAAGGGCAAGAAAACACCTGCAAGAAACAACTCTCTCTGAAAAAATTAATTAGACCGCTTTCCCTTTGAAACGATGTAACTCTTAACCGTGCTACACATAGAAATGCAAATGGATTGTGAAGCTCTGTCCCCAAGTGTGCATTTCAAATATTGGTGAGCACTTCCTCATGTGAGTACTGAAATCAATGCAATTATTTGCATGATTAAATGGTCACCAACATGATTAACGGTGGCATAACTGGGCCCCAAATTAACATTAAGAAATATGTCATGATTCTGCCCCTATTAGCATGAGGAGGACATTGCTCTGCAGGAACTGAGTCCCAATGTGCTACTATTCATCATGTGAAAGGTGGCAGAACCTGTCCTCGGAGGACTGGGTTTCTTGGAACAATCTGGAATTAAAAAAATATCCTTTAGATGGTTCCGCTGCAGAATCATTACGGAGACACTAATCGGCACGTTCTCCTTGAAGTCAGTGGGACCATCTACATGAGTGAGAGCCCATTGGCGTGCGCGCTCGTCTCATTATAATTCAGTACTGCCTCTGCCCAGATAGCTGGTAACGGTTTATCCTGTTTTCAGCTACACAGGGAGTTTTGTGTGTGATCATCAGCACTATCAGCAGCAAACCTGGATCCTTAGTGGAGGTGGATCCCAAGTCTTCCGCACAAGTACATTCCAATAAGCTGGCTGCATTTATGCCTTAAAAAATGCATGATTTGGGGATTTTTCTGTGGTACAGCAGAAAATCCAAATAACCTAGCAAACTGTCATATCTGTTTGATCAAGCAGTAAATGAAATATAGCTGCTTAATGTTCACAGAGTTTTCCAACGATGAAGTCTAGTGATCTGAGTCATTTTTAATCACTGGGTGTGGCATCCAGTCAATTTGCACAGAACCGGCATAAAGGTGGAATGCAAATAAGTCTCATGATGTATGTGAGGGCAGTAAGAGGTGAAAGAGAGAGAGAGATTATATTGTATTTGATATTTTATTAACTTATTTGTCAAAAACCAGAAGATGGTCCCTAGTTCATTTTCCAGTGTTTCATTTGGAAAGAAAAGCTGCTCCATTTTTGTTTTTTAAATTGAGGGAAAGAAAAAAATTCCTGATTTTTTTCACCAACACTTCTTGTGACAAATAGATCTTGTCTGACTAATTAGGGGGAAATAAAGATCCTAAGGAAATGATGCCAACACATTAAAGTGAAGGACACAGCCAGATCGTCTGCTGATGTGAATTGGAAGGGCTCCACTGAAGGCAGCGGAGCTTTGCTGGTTGATTCACCAGCTGAGGATATGTTTTGTGAATGAGGGGACACAGTTAATAAAACATGAAAACTTAATTATGCTTTCCTACCTGCACAAATAGGTTTCTATTTTATGAACATGAGTTGGTTTTACTCATGAAAATACATCTGCAGTACCAGTGAGGTATCTTGGATGAATAAAAATCTGTTAACACCAGTAAGGTTTTTAAGATGGGAGGTATTAATACGAAACAATATCAAGCACCAAGCAATGTTCTGCATTGTTTTCCATGTGAAGCATCAGAAAGAACAAATGTATCTGTAGAACTGAAAAGACCCATTAGAAGCACTGCTTCAGAGCTCTTGAATTAATTATTGACTTTTCATAACATGGCCCAATTCACACAAAGTACCTTAAACGAAAAGAATTTCTTTAGTACTGATGAAATTTAGGTGAACTGAAATGTGGTGCTCTAGATTCTGGTGCTGTTACTTGCGATGAGAAGTAAAAAAAAAGTAGACCCATGGGAAACGTAACACAAGAGTAAAAACCACGTAGGCAACTTAATCGCTGCAGATTTCAATCTAATTTTATCACTATTGTTACGCTTTAGGTCCCCTTTTTAAATTCGCCGTTCATATTATGTACTTCACGTATCAGCAACAGTTTTGGAGCGTTGCACAACCTAAAAATTGGTTTTCTTTAAACTTACGGGTAAGAAAACTCCTTTTGGGGGTGAGTTGATTGCCTGAACACCGAGTGACCTCCAGTGGCTGCCCTCCCCTATCACATCCCAGCGGGATAAACCCTGACCAGCTGTGCCAAAACCGCTGGCAGAAGCTGAATGATGTAGGTAACATCTCATACAATTCCCAGTTGTATTTATCAAGCACTGCTGAAAAAGAGTCTAAGCAGGAATTCGGATTAGGGAATGATGCATTTTGAGTGAACAAATGGACCGATGTTTATCTTTCTACTTATTGCACTGTGTTGACAATGCTTCTTACTTGTTTCCCTTTTTTTTTCTCCTTTTAGGAGTATCTGCGAGACAATAGTGATGTATTTTCACGGCTTTTTAACGTCATGTGTTGCAGGTACGACTCTGATGGCCATCTGACCAATGCAACCTTCCCAACTGGGGAAGTCAGCAGTTTCCACAGCGATGTTGAAAAATTGACACGAGTGGAACTTGATACTTCAAACAGAGAGAATGTGATCACAGCCACAAACTTCTCAGCTACCTCTACAATATATACTTTAAAACAAGGTAATGAAAGCATTTCTTTGATTTCTTCCATAATTTTTACGTTTGAAACTGTAGACATCATTGCTTTCTGAAGTGTTTGCCAAAAAAATACATTAGAATTAGTTCATTTGTTTCTTCCTTGCTTCAGTGCAAATAGCTAGGTACTACTTATAATTCTCCTGGGGTACCAATTAGAAACAAAGCAGGAGTGAATTCTTTTCCACTGAGAAGAATCCCATGGATAGTTTCTAGTTATTGAAATCTCCCATGACTCCAGGCTTCACGTGCTACTTTCTGCTTCAGTCTCTGGAGGACTTAGGCTGACCTATAATACACGGAGCTTTGTTGCTCTGAGAA